CATCTTATGCTTGTGAGACACGCATTTACCTTTCGATTGCGAGATTTTTTTCTCTCTCTCCTTATGCTGTGTGCTTTGATTGAATTTTCGATAAAAGAAAATCGAATAAAATATCAATGCGCGTCGATTCCATCGTACATATTTTCTTTGTGTCGGTTTTTTGTGTGTGTGTGTGTGTGTGTGTGTCTTTGTTCAAACAATCCAATTTAAGGAGGAAAAAAAAAGAAGCAGAATGAAAATTCAATTCAAACATTCTTGCCGTTAAGTCGGTACGATCGATGAAGATTTCTCTGTGTCATCGGTAAAATTGAGTTGTTAAATATTCCGATGGTGTACGTAGTGGCAAATCATTGGATTTGGTAGTTATCGTGGCTGTACGGTTGGTCATTTTATGATTACTATGTTGAGCTGCGGTTTCCAAAAGTTTCCACCGAATCGAATGGAATGGAACGCAACGCAACTCTATACGATGGTGAAAATGACGCACATGTATTCATTAGTCATTTCGTCCTCCATACGAAATACACGAATATCTACCGAACTGTGTATACATTGTGTGAAGGTGCATGTGTGTGTGTGGTGTGTGGTGTATGCCGTGGCATGCCAATCAAATGCACTCACTCCGAATGCAAAGACACATCAGCGAATCATGTCACCGACGAAAAAAAAAAACGATTCGTAATGAATATTTGATCGAAAACGGTTTGGCGCTTGATGCACTTGGCATAGGAAATAAATTAAATACAAATATATCTCATTTCTATTCGAGTCAGTGATGAAATTTATATGAAAATCCATTTTGAACTGGCACTGCAGTGTGACATATTTCAAAGTGACGCATGGGACTTGCAAAAAGTGACATTCAAACGAACGGTGTTAAGTTGCGTCGTAATGATTGTCATCAATAAAATAAAAAGCGCGTCAGATAGACAAATCCAATGATGAAGCGAATGTGTTAGAAGAGAATCCCAAAGAGAGCGCATTTCTTGTTTTCCTCTCTAATACGCTTTTTTCATAGAAAAATATTGAACTCACTGATGAGAAATCAACAGAGATTTATAATTTACACACACTGAGTCACTCACTAGCTTGATAAATTGAGCGAACAACTACAGAAGAAACAATTCAATATCATTGCGATGAAATTAATGTTTCAACGTTCAGCATGGCTAAATGAGCTAATTAATAAATTCTAACTGAACCTGATATACAGTCTCACTTTCGCTTCGACTCATTAACTCGATACGGTTAGTAACAGACATACCACAGATGAGCGCATAGTGAATGTCTTTCAAAATACGCTGCTAAACAGCATAAAAAACGATTTTGAACGCAAGCAAACAAAGTGAAATAGAACAATACATAAATTTGTCTATTGTGAAATGGCCGTCATCATTGTCGGCAGAAAGCTTCATTAACTCGGTTCGAAGGGGATGCTACAATCATTCGTTCGTACGTATTTTCATATTAGAGACATATTTGGATCTCATTTAAGTTGAAGCCCACCCAATGTAAGCAGATTGCGTTGTGACATTTGAACCATGAAAATGCAGCAAACGGAAAACACAATGACCGTTTTTCTCTCTTTTGTCGGCTTCGTCTTCTTTTTTTTTATGTGGCAAGGATGACCAATTTTCGGTCAAATGAAAATGCCGTTACTTGAACCAAGTGAGAAGATACAGTAGCTCCTTATGACAGCACACACATTCTTATCAGGCTCAATCTTTTGTCTTGTACATACTGGCGATTTGTTTGAGGGCTGAACGAACACAAAAATACAATATAATCGTTTTTTTTATGGAAGGCAATTAAACCCCATTTTTCAGACGGATCATAAAATGTAAAACAGGGCAATGAATTTCGTTTTTCTGCCCTTAAATCCTTTTTTTATTGGTAAATGTTTACTTTTCTCTGAGCCGCATCAGTTTCACTGGGTTTTTGGTGTGAAAAAAGATGCAATTTTCGTGCGATGGAATTCGTTTAGCCCTTTCTTTTTGCTGTGAGTTGAATCTATTTTTTTTTCTTCTATGTTCTTTTCCCCATTTCTTCTTCTGCACTTCAGTGAAATACGACTGATGGTATTACGAGTAGCGGACATTTTCTTTTAGCTGTTAAAGTATAAAAGCCAACAGACGCACTGGGTGAAGTGAACTACACTAATTACTTTGAATATAAATTTAATGAGCTAGTCCATAACGTCGCTTTTGTATGCGTGTGACTACAATTGCTAACCAGACGGGGAGAGAGAGAGAGAGAGAGATGAGTGGAGAAAAAAATCTAACGATAAGTGAACTCGGTTCGTTTATGAAGAATAATCCACCTTCTGATGCATTTGGTTTAATTGAATTGTGCTATTTTTTGCTCATGAATTCATCCTCCATTAGTATTATTTGGAGATTCTTGAACTTATATCTACAGAAATTACGTAGAAGCCACTTAAGATATTCGAGAGTAGCAGAAATTAGCGAATGAACGATTAAGATAAGCACTCTTTTCGTATCGGAACATCAAAACATAATGCATTTGTGTGCACAACTCAAATACAATTCATTTCATATTGTATTTTCGACAAAAGTCTTAAAATAAATTTGTATTGCTGTACAGAAATGTATTCGACTTTGTTGTAATGTGCGATTACAAAATATCGACACCATGTATCTTCTCTCTGTATAAACTGAAGAATGAAGTCTTGCGACAACATAACACATTCCCCATCTTCTGCTTCATCTTCATTGACGTTCAAATTTCACTTGAAACTTCTTTGATTACTTTCGGAAAAGACAAGATAACCTGTACGCTCCGTAAATAATTACACAATCGATTATTGTGCACACATCACTTTCGGGATAAATTCAATTTAATCAATTACGGATAAAACAATTAGAAGAAAACGCAAATTGCAATTTGTTGTCTATTTCAAACATACAAGTTTACGAATATTGGCTTAAAACCAACTTGAAAGCTGCCGCTTTTGCTGTTGCCGCTAAGCCGATGTGCATAAGGCAATTTTCACACATGTAAACCAAACAATGTTATGTGTTTGTTGTATGTATGCGAGCGCTAGTGAGTGAGTGAAAGAGTTTATGTATCGAAGGCGAGGATAGATTTAAGAAAGCATTCCAGCAACATGGAATTTACTTGAAAAGTTAGAGCAACTGAAAACAAAAAAGAAAAAAAAAACGTTCGTTGCTCGTATGCACGACGGAGCGTCGACGGAAATTGGAAACAATTTTTGTTATTTACGCTACATTTGTTGTTTGCCGTTACACTCTTCCTCTCACTTTCAAATTGCTAACGAACTGAAGAGCAGAGCGTTGAATGCTATCGAGAGAGAGAAAGAGAGAGAGAGAGAGAGAGAGAGAGAGCGAGAGAGGGGGCGAGAAGAGAAGCGATAGGGATGGAGGAAACAGCACCAAGTGGCAGAGAGTTGTCTGTAAATGGATAATCATAGTTTTCTCGTTGTATGTCTTAAGAGGAGTTGTTTTCTAGAACAAAAGGCTTGTATTACATTTTTTTCTCTCTCTTTCACGTTTAAACTCATGTACGTTTCGATGTCACGATAAAAAAAATTTCATTTACTTCCTTGCTCCTTTCTTTAAATGTTTGACACAATTTTTTTCCCTCTTCGTGTCCTGATTTTTCGCTTTCCATCTCAGACTAACATCTGATAGTTTCGACCATGTTGCAGTTGTAATGTTTATTTGCACTGCGAAGAATCCTCGATTTAGATTCGTTGGCGTATGGAGCAAATATATATTGAGCATATATATACATACGTTTCGGTGCAAATGCATTTCGAAAAAGTTTATTTGAATAGCGCCTTTCAATGGTTGCAATTGTAAATTGTAGCTCGCAGTTGCTGTGAAACATTGATATGTACGAAGGGCGTTTTGGCTTGGTTCAAACTTTCCTCGCTTACACAAATATCAAGCGTATGATAATGATGTGGACGTCGGTGCGGATTTTGTGTGCATTTAGCGAATTTGATACGAACAAGCAAAAACATAACATTGTCTTAGTTTGTAATTCTCTTCTGCCACTCCTAAAATATCAACATGTGCCAACGTTGGACTGCTCTCTTTTTTCCAAATCGTAGCTGCATGTAATAAATTTACCTCTCGGCTACGCCACCATGTGCATGTGCGTTAAACGTGTTGCACTATTTTTTTTGTGTACATTAAACTTGTTTCATTTTTGGTAAAACTTGAGATGGTGAAACAATATCTGCACACAACAGACAACCACTTCCACTTTTCACCTCAAGCCAGAATAACTAGTTTCTATAAAACTTTCTTTTCCTACATTCATTCTCAAGGTGTACTTGACTATTGTACTGAAGTCTTGTTTTCGGAAAGGGCTTTGAGCAAAGTTTCAGCATTTTGGAAAACGCTCTTCTCAAATTGCGAAAACCGTAAACAGGCTATATTTAGATAGTGACTGATACACTCCCAACTTTATCTCAGTGATGTGCTACATATTTTATGAATGCATTTGATAATTCAAAATATTTTCACGATTATGTTCTAACCTGTAAATGCGACTTTCAATCGAAAGTTTACGCATTGCGCTAATGAAGATGCTGCCAATATGAAGTCGAAAGATTCTATCGTATGTTCTATCAAGACTTTTAAGCTCATTTCGGATTAACTTCTATGAAAAGAGAAAAGTGGTAAGCAATAACAAAGATTGAAAATCATATTTGGTTTGTGTAAAACACTTTTTCTTTGCAAGTATTTTTCTAGGAAGTAATATACGTAGTCCTTTGAAAGAAGTGACTTAAAGATAAAGTTTTAGATTAATTGAATACAATACAAGCTATAAACTTGCTGCAAACAACTAATTTCATTTTATGTTCATTACGTAAAACAAAAAGTAAACTTATTAAACGTTTATTTCGAATACATTTATATACATTGTCATTTAAAAGGCAGATTTAGCACAATTAAATCTTCTTTTTTGGGAAAATCGTCTGTTACAATGATAA